CCCCCAGGCTGGCGCCGTCAGGCCGGGTGGGTGCCGGACCCTCTCTCGAAGCCCCGCGCCCGGCTCCCGCCCCGCTGTTGACGGTGTGGTCTCTCCGTCCAGCTCTGCAGGAGAATTTGGACAAGAAGCTGTTCGGGCAGCACCTGGTGAACAAGGTGGTGATAAAGGCCGTGAAGGGTTTCTTGAACAACACCAACGCCAAAAAGCCTCTTGCCCTTTCCTTGCACGGGTGGACTGGAACAGGCAAAAACTTTGTCAGTAAGATAGTCGCCGAAAGCATTTATAAAAGAGGTCTGCAGAGTAAATATGTCCATCAGTTTGTGGCAACTTTACACTTTCCTCACGCTCACAGCATCAGCCTTTACAAGGTAAGAGTGTGCTGTGGAACCCGTGGCGGTGGGGCACAGCTCTGCTGCAGTGACTGCTCTGTTGAATTACGGCATGATCCGTACTAGAAACCTAGATGTTATTGTATGCAGTAAAACATCCCTTGTGCCAGTTTTGGAATCTGTACAGAACTGGGTAAATCCTATCAGGACTGTTTTTCTCATTAATGTAGTTTTTTGCATGCGTTTTGATCCTCTCTTTAGGGGAGAATGATACGTTTTGGTTTTGTTCTACACATTGCTTAGAGATGTGACTGATTTAAGGATGATACAGCAGGTTTCTGAGGTTAGGTGTTACACTGGTGGGGGCTTTAAAAAACGAATAATTCATGTCTCTGGGAAACCACCTGCTGACCTCCAAGTGACAGGTACCATGGCAAGCTGAAGCTTGTTCTCTGGGACACAGGTGTACTGCACACCGAGCAGCGGGTTATTTAGTTTTTCTATGCAGCCGTTTCCCAGCTGAAACAAAATCACAGAATATTCTGTTGTCAGAAAGGTACGGATAAATGTATTTGGAATTGTTCTGCCTGCTTGCAAAGTGTCAGCGCAGTTCTGTAGGCAGGTGGATATCATGTGGATGTGTAGCACAGATGCTTGTCTTCCGGTTTTGGTTTTGGTTTTTTTTTTGTTCTGTGTTAACAGCAGAGTTTGAATGAATACCACTGTCTTTTGTACTACAGAATGTTTATATTCAGTTCATGTGTGTTAAAAACTGGAATGGGATGGTTTACAAACCTGATTTCTGAGTGGAGGAAATAACTGTTCCTTCTTTTCAGCTTACTTTTCTCCTTCTTGCAACTGATCCATTTTAAAATAAAATGGATCCATTTCTGCTTTTCTGTCGAGGGGAATACATTTGAGAAACTTGCTGCCCGAGGCAGTAGGAGGAACTACCGCTTGTTATCCACAATACACCCAGTGCCACCTTGTGTGCTGCCTCTGCAGTTCAGGGACTGTGTAAACAGTGAATATAAAAAAGTGATTAATCATTGAAAATGGTCAGAACAGTTACTTCTCATTCATCTGCCAGCAGATCAAAGCGGTTTTTTCCAATTACTTCATTATTGATCTTAAATGTAACGCTTCTGTGAGAGAAAAATGCAACACTTAAGTGAGAAAACCTTTAAATACAATAAAGAGTTAGCCCTTCTGAACAATATTTTGTTTTAAGAAGGACTTGTAATTGTCTTCATTTAACTTCTGAATGATTAAAACACAGGGCTGAGAATTTAATTCTGTTTCTACTTCTGTCAGTGACTGCAGGTGCAGTATCTCACTGGTGCTGATCAGGTAGCAAATTTAATATTGTTTGTAGCCTTGAGACCTAAGGATGTTTAGACCAATGAGCTGCCAAATGTAATTATCTTACTTGTCAGGGCTTTGCTTTGTGTTGCTGTTCCTTGCTGGTACCCATCCTTTGTCCTACTATGCACTTTCATTTTTGCTGTGTTTACAGGAATATCTTTCTCACAAGGAGATTTCCTGCTTGTCTCATCCTGTCTCTTGGTGTCTTATTAAAGTTTTTCAGAACTGACATGAGACTTTGTTAAAGTCTTATTTATAGCTTTTAACCATGTTTTAGTTAAGAAGCCAAAGCTATTAAAATGACACAGCTGAAATGACCCTTTCAGAACAAAGGTTGATAAGCAGAAGAGCTATTTTCTGTCTTTTCAACACAGACTCTTTCAGCATCTTTTTATTTTTATGCCTCTCAGGACCAGTTGCAGTCGTGGATTCGGGGAAATGTGAGCATCTGTCCTAGATCACTCTTCATATTTGATGAAATGGATAAAATGCATGCAGGACTCATTGACTCTATTAAGCCATTCCTGGACTACTATGAGCTTCTGGATGGGGTGTCTTACCGACAAGCCATCTTCATATTCCTCAGGTAGGAAGCATCTTCTGAGGTCCACTGTTCTGTACACTTGATGCCTTCTAAAACTACCTCCAGCTACAATCTTTGTTTTCTCTTTACTTAGCAACGCAGGAGCTGAAAAGATAACAGAGGTGGCACTAGACTTCTGGAGAAACGGGAGGACAAGGGAAGATATACAGCTCACAGATATCCAGAATGCACTGTCTGTGTCTGTCTTCAATAACAAAAATAGTGAGTAAAAACTGTGATTGCTTTTGAGGTGGTAAAATTTCCACAAAAGGGATGGACTGCATTTAGCTGCATTTTTACAGCTATGATTTCTGCCTGATGTGGCCTCCAATTTTTGGCTAGCAAGGAGCCACGATGCAGTCTGGGGGCCTTCAGTTGGCTCTGGAGGTTAAGGAGCTCCATGTGCACCTTGGCTACCAGTGTGTTTGCTCCCTGTTGGATTGCCTGTGTTGGGGGAAGTCTGTGCTGTGCAGTTATTGACATGCTAATGGGCTAAAGGGAAAGCAAACAGAAACCCTGACAGGCTAGATACTGCACTAGCTGAAAAATCTTTAACCGATCAAATGTTTTATTGTGGGGAAGCCATTTCTTTGGCCCCCAATCCACTTAGCCTGTCTTGGTCAGTCTGTTAAAAGCCTTCAGGCAGCTATTTAGGAACCACAGGCTGACATGCCAGCCCTGCTGTGGGCAGTCCAGTGCTTCCTAGATTTCCTCACATGGGACTTCCAGTGAAAAGGGGTTTTAACATAATTATACTCTAAAATTAGCATCGGAAGCAAACTTACTGTATTTTTTATTTTTAAAAAGGTTAGATGCAAGCTCTAAAAAAAGCAACAAGAAAGCTGGTCTGGGAGAGCTGTTAAGAGGGAGGAAATCTGTATCTCTCTAAGTGAGAGAGGGGAGGGTATGAGACTAGCACCTGGGGAGCAAGGCTTAAATGCATTCAGTCAGAATTCATTCATTCACCTCCAGTGGACTGCATTTATGTGTCTGTCCAAAACTTTATGCACAAAGTACCACGAGAGGAGCTTGTATTTGGACTTACTTGTGCATTATAGGGCCCTAAAATCACAGGTGATTACTTACTGGTATGAAGCAGAAGGCTGTGGTATGTCTCTTGCTCTCTCATTCAACCCATGGTGGTGTTTAACTAGAGGAGTAGTAACAATCCCGTTCTCTTTCCCTTTGTAGGTGGATTTTGGCACAGTACATTGATTGATAGAAATCTCATTGACTACTTTGTTCCCTTTCTGCCTCTGGAATACAAACATGTGAAAATGTGTGTCAGGGTTGAGATTGAATCACGTGGCTATGTTGTGGATGAAGACATTTTAACCAGAATAGCCGACGAGATGACGTACTTCCCCAGAGAGGAGAGAATTTATTCAGATAAGGGATGTAAAACTGTGGATGCAAAGCTGGATTATTATTATGACTTCTAATGCTTTATTGCTACAACCTGCAAAGAAGCAAATTTAACTTAATCACAAAGTGGAGAACCTGGGACATTTCATTTTTAAGCACTTTTAAAAGAAAGGAACATTATTTAACTGGTGTGTAAATAAGCAGCAGTGCCTCTGCATTTTTATTATATTTAGCCGTCACTAGTCACGGCTCCCAAGTACTTCAGCCTTGTGTTGGCAAGGTAAGAATGAACTGCATCGTGACTGCGGGGGTCTGACAGTGCCGAAGACTCCTCTCGGATCGGGTCTTCGATCGTCAGAACCATTTGGCAGACTGTTGGCATGTATAGAAGGACTGAGACTGTGACCTAATTTTAATTGGATTTTGGCTTGATGTGGATGATCTCTAGACAATATTGAGAATTTTAATCAAAGTTCCTAAGTCTGTGAAAGCCTTCATTGAGCTTATGTGGGCATATTCCTATAACTACATTGAAAGTATTTCTCTGTGAATGGCTTGGCTCCAGTAAAGGGGGGAGTCTGTAATTAAAAAAATCCAGAGTCTTTTATCCAGCATCATGCAGTACCATTGTCTTTCTCAAACCAGTGGTATAATTTGGTCTCCTGTGTGTCAAACCAAGAATGTGAAACTCTGGCACGAATAGTGTTCAAGAGGGTGGACTTAGTATTACAAAAAAGTGAGTTAAAATCCTTGACTGCCACACTAGTGGAGTTAGTTCCTATTTTTGATTACTTTTTAATGTATAAAGTTGTCCACAGCATGCTCTCCCAGGAGCAGTCTCAGGAGGAAGAAAAGCACGCTGACTGGTGAGCCAGCTTCCTGGGAAGGGTGAAACTTGATAGGAATTGTGTACAGGTTAAATATTACACCACGGAAAGGGAAAAGCAGTTCCTCCACATACATGTAGCATTCTGGGGCCAGCTTGCAGGGTTTTCCCTTTTTCATCTTCTCACAATACTGTATGCCTTTGAGGTCGGGATGAAGACCGATCCAAGGGCATTTGAAAAAAAATGTGAAACGTGTCAACGGAAGTTAGTGCAAGGAGTGCCAGATTCATTTCTGAATGTGAGCACTGCAGAAGTGTTTTTTCACTCCAGTTTCTATTAAAAATAAACTTTTTTCATTGGAAATTTATTTCTTAGCTACCTTCTGGTCTTCTTTGCATTGAGGGATTTGATGTTAATTTTGCACAGACTTGCTGCTTGTTGAGGAAGAGCATACTATATTTCTGGCTGAAGTGTTCAGCTGTGCTCGATTACAGGTATCTCCCTTGAGTTCAAAGGGAATAGATATGAGGACATGTGCCTCTGCTACCTGGTGAAAGGGAAACGAATGAAGTTTAGAGTGGAAGCTGCACTTCGAGACCATTGGTACTAATTAAACTCACACAGATTATTGTGGAGGCAGACTTTATAAATGTGTATGTGCTCAACAGTATTGTAAGGATGAACTTGTCTTCTAGAGACTAGTTAAAACCTTGCTTCTTGTCTCCTCCCACTGTGGTACTACAATTGAACACAGGTTGAAGCCACCTATGTTTTCGGTGGCAGTATCTTCAAGTTTTCTCTGCAAGGGGGGGGGGGGGGGG